CATATCTCGGTTCTGACCCTAAGGTTAGAGCCGATTCGAAGAGTGTTCGATCCAATCCAAGTAAGTTCGATGGCGACTCCCAAAAAGCGAACGCGACGACCTCGACCCCCGGAGGAACGGTTGCGACAGGCGACAAATCTATGAATTCACATAAGTTGAGTTGAGTTGAACTTGATTTAATTATGGGTCAACCTGTCAATAAAATAGGCGACATTGTGGCAACTTGTTGATTAAGATCTTGGCTACAACTCAGTTTGAATTTGACTCGAACTTGGCTTATTAATGAGCCCACGAGCTCTACTCGAATTTCACACATCAATCAACTCACGAACTCGGCTCGAGGTAATCTCATTTATTGGTCTATTTTGTTGAACCCCTAAATTAAACTCTAAAATAACTTAAATGCCATAATATTTGTATGTCAAATATATCAATCAATTCACAAACTTGGCACGAGGTATGTTCATTTATAGTTCATGTCATATTGTTTACTACTAAGTAATAACTAAGCAAATCTATAATACATAATTTCTTTTTCAAATTCAAATGAGACATATTTGTTCACGTACTCAAAGTCTTTAAACCATCATATTATGTGAGATTTATATCTAGCAAACCTATGAATTATTAATAATTGAACTCATAAGTTATAGACTGATTTGCTCATCAGGCACTAGTTAAGCTTGCTCCCTATTCCCACTGTTGAACTAGCTCACGAGTTGAGTTCAATCACCACTGAATCAAGTCGGCTCGTGAGCCTCGTTAGCTTAATCTCCAGTGGTTAGCAAACGATTTGAATGTCAAACAAAATTTTCCCACATCAAACGTCGAGTCGCTCGACTCATTTGCATTCATAGGAGAAACCATTAGTAGAACTTGTTTGGTTTATCGCCCCAACTATGAAAAAAATTAGTGGCGGAGCTAGAAATCTGAATGATTGGAGTAAAAAAGATAAAATTTGAGAGACTTGAATCATTGTCATTGAGAAGAAGGGCTAAAGTCTTATCAACTATTTTATTTTCTAAATTTCTTACAAATTTACCGGAAAGTTGAGGTAGTATACCCTAGATTCATTGTGGCTCCTCCAATAAACAGAATAACACTCGCTAGCAAATCAAAACCAAATCGTTGCGCATGATAACTGATTTTAGTCATAGCTACTCTAACTTCTTTTCTTTACCTTTTTCATTTGTGAGGGGAGATATCCTACTGGGGAAATATGAAGATTGTGGAAAAGTGATTCAAGATGAGTGTCTGGCGCATCCAAGTTTAGGGATCATCATTCGAATAAAAAATTGCGAGAACAAATTGACAAGTTGGAGTCAATCTGCGTTTGGCTCTGTAAAAAAAGGGGCAAAAGGGCTGAAAAAGTCATTCGTACGCTAGGGAAAAAAAAAGAAAACTGAGGCGATATAGGCTCGGAGAAGAGTGCTGGAAAGAGAACTGAACGATATTATCCTACAGGACGATATGTAATGGAAACAACGTTCCTAGGCCGACTAGCTAAAGAAGGGTGATTGCAATACAAGATATTTTCATAGAAAGCATATGAAAGGAGGAGGAATACCATCAGGAGATTACAGAAGGAGTCTAGCCAGACTTTCACGGGAAAACAGAAGTCACTACCTACTTGAGACAATATATGCAAAATTTGTTCAAAGCAAGATGTCGACCACCCCACATCGAAATTATCTCGGCAGTGGAACCTAAGGTAACGACAAAAATGAACCAAGAATTGCTAAGACCCTACACAGACAAGGAGATTTAGCTAGCCCTAAAACAGATGGGGCCAAATAAAGCCCCGGGGGTTGATGGAATGTCAGACAGGTTTTTCCAAAAAAAAAACTAGAGTACTATTGAGCCAGCTGTCAAAGTAGAAATTCAGGGTTATTTAGCATGTGATGAGTTCCCCCAACAACTAAACCACACCCAAATAACTCTGATCCCTAAGAAAAAGAAGTTAGAGACTCCCCTGGACTTCAGACATATTAGCCTATGCAATGTAATCAAAAAAAAATTATGTCTAAAGTAATAGCTAATAGGCTGAAGAGCATGTTGAATCATATTATAGATGAACCTCAAAGTGCGTTTGTGCCGGGAAGGTACATCACAGAGTTGTGTCGGTGATGATGGCTTTCACCTTCGTGTCAGGTTGTTGCTCAATTAGATGCTTGATAGTCGCGACAACCACCCTGGATTTCAACTTTTGATGGCCTTGGGATGTTATGGATGACACAGATGTGTGATTGTTCACTGCACGAGATATGACCCAATGCCCGACTCTCTTACCCTTGATGGCCCATACCCTAGCGTTGCATCCCTCGTGTTGATTTTGGCATCTAACTATGAGCCTCTTTGTATTAGAATAAGTTGTGTGCCATTGAAAACTCAGAGTCATTGCTTTAGTGTCAGCAGAGTGTTGCACCTCCTTTTTCGTACCAAATTGTTGGCCCTACGTAAACCCAGTGAGTGGACCCCATACTGCCACCTCTGGAGGCTCCATGTTAGTATCAAAATACCAATTTTCATTTGGAAGGTGATTGTAGTACGGGAAAGGCACATGATCACGAGACACATCATCATCATCTGAGTCTGAATCTGGGCATGAATCATCAGCACCTTCAAGAATGTCGAAGTTGTCTGCACTAACATTGCCTTCCTCTTCTTCATCCTCAGGGTCACTAACTGTACCTGGTAGGACATCTTCCATCTGATCCAGATCATGAAAGGCACCTTCATCAGCTCCGTAATGGTAGTTGTGATAACTACCGCTGCCTGCATGGAAGTTGTACTTGGGTTGGTACTGGTAGCCTTCTTGTTGGTTGTCATGGTACCCTTGGGCTTCTTCTTCATATGATGGGAAGGATTGATGATGATTTCCACCTCCTTCTTAGTACTCATGGTAGGAATGAGGATCATGGTAACCTTGATAGGGAATGAGGATCGTGGATACCAGACGTTTGGCCATCTCCACAATGGCCTCCACCTCCTTCGACCGCATCGGTGTAAACAAACATATCTGCTTTGGAAATGTTGTTGGCGATCAAAAATTCGACCATGGCATCAACATCCAGCTGAGTGGTTATGAGGAATTCATCATGCCACAATGACTTGCCTTGTCTGTTTGGATATCGATACGACATACGATCAACTCTTCTCATGTCATCCATGCAAGTAAACTCAGTACACATTTGACAGAGCTCTTCAAGGTTCGGTCTCGTAGAGACCTTCACTTTATGAAAATTACCATTGACGTAACATACCCCCTTTTCAGTCTCTTCCGTATAACCATTCCACCATAACCCAAGAGTTAACTTTTGGAATGCCATATGCAATAAAATAGTAACTAAATTAATACCATAAAAATTTTCAGCATTAATCGGAAAACAAACTTACAATAAAAAGTAACACAAAACAAACTTACAAAGTAACTTTAATCGTTAAAACTCAAAACACAAATCGCAAAACAAAAAATTAAAGAAGAATAAGAAGAGTGGTGAAGTGCTGAGATTTACGGGGCTGGCTTTTATAGGCAAAACGCAAATTGTCAAGTGAAACCGCCCCTCCCCCAGCAGTTTTCACCAGACATGCAACCCCACGTCTGCAACCCCTCCATGCAGACATGTCGGCTATCGGGTGAATGGAGACTACTGTCGACGTAGAACTACTCCTCCAACAAGCGGTCTGTTCTAGGTCAGCCACTAAATCGCTTTTAGGAGGGGCAGTTTGGCCAAATAATTTAAACCGCCACCTAACGATGTGGTTCTCCCACAAACCGCCTCCCCATGCGACGGTTTTTAATCAATGGTGGTATTTTTGGAATTTTTTCGGGTTGGGTGGTATATTTCTATTTTTTTAACAGTGGTATTTCTGGAAAAATTCTATTATTTATTAGAAATAATGCTCGTCTTGTTGCCTAAGGATACTGTCAAGAGGAGGGCATTGACTATGATGAAACATTTGCCTCTATAGCTAGAATTGAATCCATTCGGTTATTCAGTTTTTGCTTGTTATTTGAATTTTCCCTTATACCAAATGGATGTTAAAAGCATTTTTTTTAACGGGGTCATTTCTGAATATGTGTATGTTGCTCAGTTGTCAGTTTTTTATTGATTATCGATATCCTAATCATGTCTACAAGTTAAGGAATACCCTTTATGGACTTAAACAAGCCCCAGGGGCATGGTTTGAGCGGCTTACTACTTTTCTTAAATAAAATCATTTTATTCAGGGATTTGTTGATAAGACGTTGTTCATTCAACTGAATCAAAAAGATATTTTGGTCATTAAAGTATATGTTGATGATATCGTCTTTTGATCTACAAATGTTGACCTATGCTCTCATATCTATGAGTTAATGAAATCTGTCTTTGAAAGGAGCACGTTGGGTGAACTCCAATTTTTTCTTGCATTGGAGATTAAACAAACTAATTATGACACTTCTATAAATTAATCCATGTATGTTCACTCAATGCTCAAGAAAATTTATATGACTTCTCTGAATTCGAGTCCCACTCCTATGGCTGTGAATTCAAAGATTGATAGACACGACCATGACATCGTTGTTGATGAAAAGAAATACCGTGTCATAATTGGGTCCTTGTTGTATTTAACTGCTAGTAGACCGAATATTCAATATAGTGTCTGTCTTTGTGCTCTTTTTCAATCATATCCCAAAGAAAGTCACATGCCTGATGTGAAACGGATTTTCAATACTTAAAAGTGTTAGTAGATGTTGGTATTTGGTACCCTAAAAAAGATACTTTTGATTTATCTGGATATGGAGATTCCAATTTTACCGGTAGTCTAAAAACTAGAAAATTACTACCGGCACGTGACAATTCTTTGGTATTTGCCTTATCTTCTAGTTTTGTAAGAAACAGGGGTTGTTGCCCTCTCTATTTGGGTTGGGCATCTGGTTAGGTAAACTCGAAACCGATTTAAACTGAACCAAAACCAAAATATTCTGATTCGGTTAGGAATTTGGAATAGAAATCTTACTAATTCGGAAACTAGGGTTCTCGTGATCGAAACAATTTTTCAAATTTCGAACCGACCAAGCAAAATATGACTCAATGCTATCTGGGCCTAGTACACTCCCCAGCCCAGACCCCCAAAGCCCAAAGCAATCACCTCCCGGAGCTTAATTTCGCCACAAAGTGAAAACCCTAAGCCGATTCTCTCTCGCCACTAACCTCCCACTACCACCCATATCCCCCTATCCCTATCTCATTTAGCACAGCACGCAGAAAACAAGGCTGGATCGGTGACGGGGAGAAGGCGTTGACCACCCATATCTCAATTTCCATCGATGCTCGATGTTGACAAATCCAGTCGTCGCCGTCATCGAAGCTGGAGAGATTGACATCGCCGTCTTCGAAGCATGGGAGATTGACAAATTCAGTCGCCGCCACCATCGAAGCTTTGGAGATTGAAAAATATAGTCATCGTTGTCGAAGCTTGGGGGATTGACAAATCCAACTGTTGTCGTCATCAATACTGGGGAGGAGATCGGGTTGATAGAGGGGTGGCGAGGCAAGGTGAATCGGTGCTAGAGAAGCCGCCTCCAATCTTCATATACTATTGATTCTCTCTCTCTATTGATGATGTTTCTAGAAAAGAAGTGGGAAAAAGAAAGAGATGGAAGAAATGAGTTGGTAATTGGTAAAGACTGACGAAGGAGAAGGGAAGGGAGGTGGGGATTCAAAGTTGAAATGAATGAGGAATTAACTTTCTCTTTCTCTCCCATTATTGCCTCCTCTATTTGTCCCTCTTCATATTTTGGTTTTGCGTGTGAAACCAAACCAAACCGTAATATAACTCGGTTCAGCCAAACCGGATCGTATTATATTTTGGTTCGATTTCAGTTTTGAGGTTTGGAGTAAATCAGGAACTCGGTATGCTTCATTTCGGTCTATTTCGACCAAACCGAACCATTGCCCACCCCTACTCTCTAAGCCGAGGCTAAATATATTGTTGCTGGAAGTTATAGAACTCAACTAGTTTAGTTAAAGAATCAACTCACTGATTAGGACCTGAACATAACATGCATTGCTCTATTTTGTGATAGCACTAGCACCATTCGCATAACCAAAAACCCAATTCAGCATACACATACAAAGCATATAGAAATTAAGAATCATTTTATGCATGATCTCGTTAATTCTCACACTCTTACATTGCATCATATACCTACCGAATTTCAGCTTGGTGATTTGGTTACATAGTCTATACCCTTAGACCAATTCACTTTTCTCTGTTACCACGTTGGTCTAAGGTCACTTAAGACTAGAGAATTTTTCCTGACTCATTATATCTCCTTTTTTTCTTCCTATTTTATTCTTTTCATTTATTTCTTGCTTTCCTTTTCCTGCTTGTCTGATTGATTCTGTGAGTTATGGTGTCTTATTGTCTTGCCTTGTCTATTCATCTTCCTTTTTTATTTTTCCCTCCGGTTCTTTTTTATATTCTCTTCTTCCTTCCTTCCTTCTCTCCTCGCCTCTCCCTTTTTCTTTCTCTTGTGTCCTCTCTTTGTCTTAGCTATAGATTTTATTTTTGCACAATATTTTACCGATGCCCTTCTCTTCAATTGGATACTTGTCAGCCATTATAGTCATCTCCAATATTTTTAACAATGTCTTCTTACTTCCACTATCATTGCTCTTTTTAAAGAATTTCCTAATTTTACTCTTGACATTGCCGATTCCATTCAAAACCTTGGCTGGGATTTTTTGCTCGAACCCCTCTTCTCTATCTTGTGTCCTTCCCTCGTCGAGTATTTTTACTTCAATCTTTGTTCTAATGTTTTTCACTCTAAGGCTTCCACTACCTTGTTCTATAGCTATCTCCTTACTATCCCTTTTCGTGACCTAGGGCGACTGTTAGACTACATGAGTAAACACCTTGGTCCTGCCATATATCTCCCTATCACTAATCTATTACCTAAGCTACATGCTTTTCATTTGTTCTTACCTGAGTCTCCCGCCTTGTTCTCCCGCCTATAGTTTGATTTATCTCCCTTTCACACTATCTCCATCCCATTCTATGCTTATTGATTAGATCTTAGATGACCTCGAGATTGCGATTGGGGGAGAGGGAAAGTGATATCCCTGTTGATGTGCTCAAGGTTGCTGCTAACCATGTTACTCATGATGATATCAACATTGGATGATATTCAGAAGAGGATGAGGTGAAACCAAAAGATCCTGCTCCCAAAAATAATGTTCCTACTCATGATTTGTTTCTTAAGGACTGCTGGTGTTGTGTGGAACTGATGGAGATATGAGTTCAGACGAAGAAGACCTTGCTTGATTCCAGTGCCTTATGTTTCACACTATCTTTTGGTGTTTTTCTTGAAAATGTTTATTATTTTGCAAATCGGATTTTTTTAGGCTTTTGGTTGACTCTGCTATTTTTTCTTAATTGTTGTTGAACGTTTGGAGCTATATTTGCACTTTTTAGTTCTTAATTTGTCTTGTCTCCATGGCATCTCTTTGTTGAATAGTTTATGTTGCATTACTTGTGGTAAGCTCTTGTTTTTTTAGGATAAAAGACAATCGACAATCAATAATTGCTCATTTAGGTGAAGATTGGTGTATGAAATGAGAGGGTTGTCAATTGACCCTCTTTTGCTAAGTCTCATCCAAATCAAGCAGTCGTCACTTAAGGAAAGTCTCAGCAAACGATGCAACCTTGAAAATTTGCAGACAACGCTAGACGATCCATCACATGCAGAATGTTAGCAACAGATATTTTGAAGACCCTTTATATACTAGATTTTTTCAGAGCTTTTGTTAAGAACATCAATTGTAGCATTGAAAGTGAGCGGTTGAGGGTTTGTCTTTAGGTTACAAGGATTTCAACAATTTAGGGGGAAGATGTTATAAACTGTTGAGGTTTCAGACATATCAGATTGTGATTTGGGGTGGTGTTTCTTCATTCTTTGTTTTTTTTTTTCATTTTCGCTTGATAGTTCTAAGCTAAATAAAATAAAGGAGTCTCTCGAAAAATAACAGGTGTTATTTCCTTGATGAGGTGTGACCCATAAATTGGGGAACCTTGTTAAAAATCTTGATGTTCTCCTTTCATTTTTAGTCCGTTGTGTTCCTCTGTTTTCATCTTTTTGCTGGTTCTCAATCTTTCTCTATTTTCCTTTGATAGAGAGCTCTGGAGGAAGTTTACCCGTTCTACTGGACTTTGTCTTCACTTGAGCCTCTCAAATAAGTCTTCAGCTCGTGTCTTTAAAAAATCAAGTGTTGTGTTTTTAATCAATGATTCTCCGTGATTAAACTTTTTGGGCCTAGCTTCTTTTGAGCACAAGTTGTATTTCAAAGTTAGACGACTGACTAGAAACAACACTATGTTTCTATGGTATTTTGTCATCTTTCTGTCTTGGTCGACTTCCTTCTTCATCAATCAAAATCTCTAATATTTTTCATAAACTCATTTTGACCCCCTCAGTTCACGTTAGACCCCTTTTTGAGATTTCAGGCTCCACCACTGCAGATAGTAATCAACATGGTAGTCTGATTAATGATCAGGAGCCCAGAACCCACCAAGGGACCTCTACTGCTAGCCAGAGATGAGCATTTCTGTGGGGATATATGGATTAATCTGCATAATACGACAAACTACCATGTCAAACCTTGGGCACAAGCCCACTCAAGGAGGCCCTAAACCCCTATATAAGGAGGCTCAAGCCCTCCAAGCAAAAAACTTGTTTCCTTCCCCCTCAAGGTCAGAAGTGATTAGGACTGTAGCATGCATTGGCGGGGATGAGCAATTGCGGCGGTGACCGCCGACCAGTGACGATGGCAGGTTGTGCCAGCAAGGATGAGTGTTCCCTTTTTTCTTCTTTTGTTCCTCCTGTTGTTGAGAGGAGAAAAGAGAAAGCCCTTGGACTCGATGGAGGAAGAGATTTCTGATTTTTCCTCTTCTTCTTGATCATCGGAGCTGTCGCTGGCAAGGTCGAACTTAGCGAGCATGTGGAGTTCGAAGAAATGTGACGAAAAGTTGGAGACACAGACTATGTTGGAGGTCGAAGAAGAACTTGAGTGATTGGGAGCTCTTTATGTTTTTATTTTCCTTGCAATGAGGAATCCATCTTGTATCCCTCTATTGGGGAAGAAATTCTTAGATCTGTAATTTTCTATGTCTTTGGTGTTTACTCATTCGCCGGATTGCAAGCCTCTCCAAATATGCCTTCTCATGCTTCTTTTCGCTGCTCCTTTTTCCCTTTTCGATGAAGCTTTCATGGTTATTGGTTTGCATAGATTTCCCTCCTAAAATCCAACGAATCGAACATCCAAATCACTGCACCACGATGGGCGCCAAATGTTTGAACCTAGAACGTATTCTAGGTCAATACATTAATATTTGGGGCTCCGATCTGGACTCCCTCGTCTGATCTCCTCAAGAGTGGAAGGAATTTGAGGGAGAGAGAGACGTGAGATGATGAGAGTAGAGTAGAGGGAAGGAAGATTAGGTTTAAGTTAAGGAAAATGCTTATTCTGATTATGCCTAGTAGAATAATTCCCACTAACATAATATACATATGGTGGCTTCTATCGTACCTAGGGTAAAATCTAGGATACGACATATCCTGAGTAAGAAAACACTATCTACACCTCGAATTAACCTGATTTTTGGGCATGATACTATACCCTAACCCTTGATGAGTGAACCCTAGATCTTAGTTTTCAAAATCATAGAGCCTAACCCCTAAAATTGTGCATAAAATTTGTTGCATATATTTCGACGAATCATAATCGTCGATTTTTATTTCTAATTAAATTGATCTTAGTGTATGAGATTTATAGAATTAAGACGTATATTTTAATCTTTAAGGGTTTGGGAATAGTGCTAAATGCCAAACTCCGATCGATTGAAGGTTTAGGTATCATTTTCTTACTCAAGGTATGTCGTACCTTTGATTTTACTCAATGTACGATAGAACCATATATATGGTGGCTACTTCGGTGAACTCACTTTTTTTGGTGCATTCAATGCACCCATCTCTAAGTGACCATAAGACATCGAATTTTGAACTTTAATTGATAATAATAGACTAACATTATGATATAACATAGAATCACAACTAATCAATCCATTATCCTTATCCCTTAACCTTCAATTTTGAATCCCAACACAAAACCCCAAATTGGGAACCCTAACCCTACATTCCTAAATCATAAATTCTTCAAATCAAAGTAAATCTTGAATGATTTTTTTGTAAATTCATAGGGTTTCTTGTCTATCATATCACAAGTGACAATTAACATCGTTTTGACATGTATTGCCTGCTCAAAATGTCGATTATGAGGTGAGTGCATTGAATGCACCCAAAAAAGTGAATGCACTGAAGACAACACCATATATATGACCTGACAATTTCCTATAACTACGCAAACTTTACCTTCTAACCAATAATCCAAATAAATCCTCAATAAAATCTTAAATAATAAGAAACCGACAAATTAATCCAAATAATGAAACAAAAAATATTTTTGTTTCCATCATCCCGTACTCCTTGAGAGCAACCTTGACCTCAAGGTTAGTCTTCAGCATCTTGGGTCGCCCTCCTTTCTTCAAGCACTTATGTCCGATCGTGAACCTCTCATTGCAGTTGAAGCACTTCCCTTCTCGCCTTTTGTACTCAAAATCCACAAGAGATAGCTTGACAAATCCCTTCGGTGGCGCTCTGGAATCGGGTCGAGCTGATGTCAGTGCTTCTACAACGGTTGTTCCTACGCTTGTGCCAGCTCCAGTCGGTGGTACTCCTCAACTATGGACTGCACTGCCACTACTTCCACCAACACTAGGCCTCTGGTAGCGGCCTATGGTGCTCCTTCAACTCGCTATCTCCTACTCCTTGCAACCTGTAAGTCTAAAATTGGTTCTCAAAGAATCCGGTTCGAATGCCTTGACCGCGGCTGCTATCTCAGGATGAAATCTTCCATACACAGTCCCACCAGCGTCTCCTCGGGCACCCTTTCACATTTGTTGCCTAGCTTGAGAAACTCTCCTATGTACTCTATCACTATCCCAGTCTGTCTTAGCTTGGATAGCTACTCTAGTGCCCACCTTTCCAACTTGCTGAACCGATATCGGAGCTCCTCCTAGAATCTCGGCCACGTGAACAATGTTTCTGCCTCAGCGTATGACCTTTCCATCCACTTTCACCACTACAGAGTGTCTTCCTCTAAGTAGAAGGACACCAGATGCGCCTTCCGCTCTTCCCTCTCCGATGGTTCTTGAACCACTTGTCCGCTACATACAACCACAACCCTACGTCCTCCTCCATACCCACGGTCATAGCTAGTGAACCACCATACCTACCAATGCTAGGAGTCTCACTGTGGTAGCTCCCGATCATGTTCCCATGCGTCCACATCCCCATTTGGGTAACTCATGTAACCGCCTCATCTATTCCTGTTTCCATATCATGCATCCCATGCCTGTCCCGACTGCGTCCCACGGCTCAGGAAGTCATGAAGGCAGGGTAAACAGCATCCCCATCCCCGCGCAGTCCACCCCTGCCCTTGCTGCCTACACCTGGCCGGTTCAGGTCGAACCTAATTCATTCAGATCAGTTTCAGTTCGACTTGGGTCAACCGTCGTATCCCGGTCAGCCACCTTGGTCGGCTCAATTTGAGCTAGCTAGGAACCTGCGTGACACATGCTCCTAGTCGGCCCGCAAAACTCAATTCATCCTCCTCCGAGTTTTGGTCCAAGCCCATCCAGCCTAGCCCATTATGACTCCCTGCATGTCCAGACTCTCCTTCATGGGCTAGCGGGTCCAGCAACCAAAAGCTCGGATTTTGCACCACGTTGTTGTAGCCCGGTAGCTTGGACTTTCCACGTAGATCAGCGATCTCTTGGGCCGTTGGTGTCGGTAACAACCCAACTCCATTGTGAGGCCCAAAAGAGAGGTGGCCCCCACAATCTCAAGATGCTCCCCCTAGGGCTGTTGCGGCCGCGCCTGCTGCCTCCACCGTGCTCTCCGTTAGGAACGTTGCCGCCGCATTCCAACTCCGCGCCCAATGCCACCGAGATCATTGTCGCCTCGGTTCCCATGGCGGTCAACGCCGCGACGGTTGGATTTTTGCTTGTCACCGCGGTTGACTCGCCCGCCCTGAACTTCGTTGTCTCGTTCCCTCCGTGGTCAGACGCGGTGCTCTTGATTCAGACTCCATCGGTCGATTCACCAGGTTTTGCATCATCTCTGTCGTAATATGCCTCACTGCTCTCATCTTAGCATTGGCTTTGTCGGTCGTGCTATGGATAGCTCGTACCACCTCTTGTAGTCCTGGATTCAGTGATGCTTGGATATCACCCTACGATGCGGCCACGCTCTTCACGATCTCCTTAACCTCCACTAGCTCCGTCCAATCCTCCATCACGCCGTCTTTTGCGGATCCACTCGGCGTACCCGTATTTTTTTATTGCACCGACTTCGTGGGATTGGTCACGACTAGACTCTTTCCCTATGCGGCTCTAACCTCTTCGGCCGCCTTCTCTACAGCTTTCTCTACAGTCGTTTGTGATTTGGTTATCGCCATTGATCTCCTCTGATCGTCCCGATCTAGAGTTATTACCGACTCGATTTTGAGCCAGGCTCTAATACAAAGATGATAGAAACAAAGTTTCTATTAGTTTGATAATTTGGGAATGGATAGTAGATGGGGGTTTTGTGTTGGGACGGGGTTGGAATATTGGTGTTGGAAAGTATAATTGGGTAGGGAAGTTAGGAAAGGGGAAGGTGGTGGGCGGCCAAATTCTGTCCTTTTTTGTTTGGTTTACGAAATGCGCCTATTTTTCGATTTTTCTTTTCGCCTAACTCAATCTTTGGAATTCTAAGTTGAACATTTGAATATTAATGTTACATAAGTGTGTGTGAATTTTCACTATATGTTGGATCTAAGTACGACATGTTATTTTGGTGGAATATTATAGGGTAAATACAATATATTAGCCACAACTATTATGAAGCGGGAAATTATAGCCACAACTATGAAAATTCAAATTATTAGCCATAACTATTGTTGCGGGTCAAGATATGGCTAACTGTCCGTTACTGTTATTGAATTTTTGACGGAGAAGGCCACGGCAGCGGCTATATCAGAATGCTTTTAATTTATAGCTTTAAAACATAAAAGTTTAGTCAGTATTACTAACGAATTTGTTAACAGATAGTTAACGTTTGGTTAATAATTTGAATTTCCATAGTTGTGGCTATAATTTCCCGCTTCATAATAGTTGTGGCTAATATATTGTATTTACCCAATATTATATGTTATAACTCATATGTTAGATGAGATTTGATATAATTTATTAGGATAAGTACAATATAATGACTACTTCCATACTTCCGGGCTAAACCGGGCTAAAACGGGTGACCCATTAACCCTTGACCCACTAGTTCGACCGGGTACGGGTCAACCCGTGGGTTGACAACATTGGAAGAGCCCTTTGCTTAGAGGACATGAGCCTCCTTATATAAGAGTCTTGGACTTCTGTAAGGGGGCTTGGACCCAAGGCGTTTTGCGATAGGCTTGGGTCCATTGATGACATGGAAATTTGTCGTGTTAGGCAGATTAATCATATCCAACAATTTCCACTCGCCATTCTTTATCGTCCACTAAACTTATATGTAATTGTACACTTACTATGTAAGTTCTTATAATCTTTTCGAATTTGGTTTTGGCAATCACTAACATCTATAAATCATTTTCTTTAACTAACCAGGCTTGAACCAAGCCGCTAGCCGAGCTTTTTAAGCTTTGTTCGACCAATTGGTGAGGGTTCCCGATTCTTGTTTGTTCGCCAACAGAAGAGGTCTCAGTTATTAACCATGCGGTGTCGAGCTTCGACGCCCTAAACTTATACTTACCCACCTTAAAAATCTCTACCGTCAAGGGTAATTAGTATAGACAGTCACGAATTGGACTTTTGTACAAAATGGTAACCAAATTTCATTTTGTAAGATTCGATAACAAAAATTTGAACCTGGAACAAAATGATCGTGCCCATCTCCATCCAAATTTGTAACGAACTCGTCTAGTCAATAGTCCATGTCATCCAAAAAAATATTAAAAACTTCCACCTCACCATCCAAACTAACCAACCGAATTAACCTATTTGGATGACATGGACTGCTGTCTAACAACTTTTAAGCAAATTTGGATGAAAGTATGACATGGATTGTTACTTTGGATAAAAGGTACAAAGTATGTAACAGTTTGCTAAGTACCTCTATGGCTCTATCACTATGGCTAGCACTGTGCACGTGCTGCGAGGAGCCTTCCCCTGTTCCCCAACATAGCCCAACTGCTCATCGCTGCTGTTGCCCCTAATGAGCAGTACGGCACACATGCACAATGGGAATGTACGTGTTGGACAAACAAGGGCAGATTCCCAATATACCAGAGCCCAAAATCTAAATCTATTTCATCATTCAACTAGGAAGTTTGGCACACAATAATGTTACAAATCTCATTACCACGAAAAAATAACACAAACAGTTCACTGCATGATTTGAAGTTTTCAAGTCAAAAGAGATGTAAACGAGAAGAAGGCAGGTTAGGGACCAGGAAAAAGAAGCTAGGAAAGCAGCAAACAGCCCAGCCAAGTCTCCTACTAAGATTCTTTTTTCTTTTCTCTAAGCATAATAATTCAAGCTTGCTTTCTTCTTGGCTTGAACTTGGATTATACCTTCATTGAAGTCCTCATGATTCACCTCAGTTGCATCCCTTCGAAGAGCAAGCATCCCTGCCTCCACGCACACAGCTTTCAGCTGTGCCCCGTTGAAGTCATCTGTCGAACGAGCTAGCTCCTCAAAGTTGACATCAGGGTGAACGTTCATTTTCCTCGAGTGGATCTGCAAATATCAGAAAAGCATGAATTGTCAGGACCGCTACTCATTGTTCCACTTGGCTTTTGTAATCATAAAAATTGTGTGTAGGTGATAAGAGATTAGCCACGGTTTGTAACAACAAACCTGTAAGATCCGGGCTCTGGCTTCTTCGGTTGGATGGGGGAACTCAATCTTACGATCCAGCCTCCCAGATCGCATTAGAGCAGGGTCCAGGATATCAGCTCGATTTGTTGCGGCAATCACCTGAAAGATACGAGGCACTTTGTTGGTACATTGAGCTGATAAATAAGTCTTTCAAGTTCTTCAAGGGGTAGAGTTCGCATTCCCTAAGAAAGGATCAACTGACACATACACAACACAGCCTAAGTTGTGATTACAAACAATAGATCTCAAGTAGAACAAACCTTTATCCTGTCATCGCTGCTGAACCCATCAAGCTGGTTGAGCAGTTCCAACATGGTCCTTTGAACCTCCCTGTCACCACTCACCTCACTGCGCCCAACAGAAGTCTAGCAATCAATAACACATGCTATATATATACTGACCACGCAAAAAAATAAGAAACAGCACAAAATCAACATACCTATCGAAACGTTTTGTACCAATTGCATCAATTTCATCAATAAAAATTATGCATGGTGACTTCTCTTTTGCAAGTTGAAAGGCATCTCGGACAAGTTTTGCTCCATCACCAATAAACATCTACAACAATTTGCAAGTCTGATTACTCTTTGTATCAACCCAATAGACATGCATGTTGAAATAATAATAATAATAATAATAATAATAATAATAATAATAATAATAATAATAATAATAATAATAATAATAAAAAGACAAATAATTTGAGACTAGTTGGTAAATGGTATATGGTTTGTGCATTGTGTGAAGAAATTTTCATGTACACAAAGAGAAAGGAAACAATACTACGGAAAATGGGAAGAAAGTGAACAAGGATAACATACTTGCACAAGTTGTGGACCAGCAAGCTTTAAGAAAGTGGCATTTGTTTGAGCAGCACAGGCACGAGCCATCAAAGTTTTACCAGTACCAGGAGGGCCATACAAGAGAATTCCCTTTGGAGGCCTAATGCCTAACTTCTGAAATCTCTCTTTATGAGTCATGGGCAATACAATGGCCTCCACCAGTTCTTGAATCTGCAGTTCGGAGATGCATATCGCTTAGAAGGCTGATTCAAGCATATCCAAAAATGCTCTCGTACTACGGACTGTGTTTCCATTAAACAGCTAGCTAGAAGCTAAGAAGGCCTACCTGCTTCTCCAAGCCTCCAATGTCATTGTAGTCCTCTGTGGGCTTCTCGTCGACCTCCATGGCCTTGACTCGCGAATCATACTCGGATGGTAAAGTGTCAAGGATCAAGTAGCTGTCTTTGTTAACTCCAACCAAGTCCCCTGGCTTCAACTTGTCAGGGTCGACCAGACCAACCACAGGAAGAAATATAGTCTGCAAGAACAAGTTAACCAATTTAGTTAAAGTTGGAAAATTCAATCAAACAATACGTTGATAGGGTAAGAGAGAGACTCCACCTGACGAGTAGAAGTCTTTAGGACTACACATTTCCCTTTTCTTTGCGAGTCAAGGTCGATGTTAGCACCATCTTCTTCAGCATCATCTTCAGGGTTCATCTCCAAAATCTAATAGATACATAAAGGGACAGCGTAAGAACATTATTGCAGGACAACCATAAGTCAATGAGGGAAATTTGTATATTGATGTGGCATGATCCACTATACCTCAACAATGTTTCCAACCAAGTAAGGAAGCTGCTTGTTGAGCTTAATCTTCTCCTGATTCTCCTTGATTTTTTCCTTGTAAGACTCCAGCTCCAGATTCGTTCTCTGCGACTCTTCCTGAAACCAACATTATACCTAATTTAACACAAGAAACCCTAAATCCCAACCAGGTGGCAAGTTGGCAGTAGCAATTGCAATTCACAACGGCTGAACGAATCAAGTGCAGCAGAAACGAAATAGGAAAAGAAAGTCAAAAGGTGGGTAAGATCAAAAGACCTTCAAAATCCGTATCTCATTGTCCAGAAGCCTGGAAGCTCGAAGGATATCATCAGTGGACATGGATGCGAGCTGATCATCTTCAAAGCTCGTATCTTCTACCATCGCCGTCGCCATTTGGTAAAGATGAACGGAGACCGCCGGTCCGATTGGGGAAGAGACGATTTTGAGGATTTTCGACCGGAGTTAGTAAGGACGGAATTCGGGAAACGCTGTAGCTGAATAGTGTATACAAGCGAGGGTGGAGATTTTGTTTTGAGGCGTGTTATTTGCCGCGCGTGTCAATACTATTTGACGCGCGTGTCAAAAGTTAAAATGACTTTTTGCCCCTATCAACACTCTTTCCATCACCCTCATACTATCGCGCGCAGCTGAGATTGAAAGAATAATTTCTAGTCAAATTTGCTGTCGATCCGTAATTATAGTTCGTCGGCAGACCACCACCACCAGAGCACACTGCCGGGCGCCGACCGACCACCACCGTCGTTAAACCACCATCGCTGGAGCCATCTAATGGGACCACCTCCGTCGCCGTTTGACCGCCGCGCCGCTGCAAATCACTGTTGCCGCCGCCAGACCACCACACCTGCCGCCGCCACTCTACCATCTGCGGTCGGACCCCGTCCGATTTCGGTGCGCGGACCGTGCATCTAGCGACGGTTTCAAAACCGTCACAAAACTCGTCGCTAAAATGATAATAATTATTTAACTCAATCTTCTATTTTTTTAATTATT